CAACGGTTTAATGTGTTAGAAAATAGACTCATAGATCTTCCATTTTATGTGTGGAACACCCCATAACTCTAAGTATATTGGGAGAAAATTGCAGTTACATTTGACCCAAAGTTTTAGTAAAACGTATGAACGTAACTTGTGATGACTTTTATCGACTTTTGTTCCACAACTCGCTTGGCTTCAAAACAAAATATACGACTATCATACGACTAACATAACTCATAACATAACCTATTTATCATGTTAAGCACCCTAGTATCACCCCAAAAGTACATGTTATAACATTCCTAACTTGTCCACTTTCGACGAAACATTATTTTCTTCAATTCCTTTAGCTTTTGAACCTTTCAACACTCTTTGTACTTGCTGTTCATGATCTCCAATAGTGGTAACCTCCAAGGTAACATGATTAACTTACTTTATATGTTTTCAAATATGATCTCATTTTTGGTCCTACATTAGTTTGCTTACGACGCACTTTTACGTACGAAAATATAGGGTGTAACATCGTTCCCCCCTTGGGAATATTCGTCCTCTAATGTTTACTCTTAGAGACTTTGGAAAATGTTTGCCAGAGTCTCCTCCGTACACTAGACTAAAACCAACTTGCACGCATCCAGAAAATATACTATGCATGCCACACATGGCCAATGTCTATAAATAGCAACACTTTGCCTCACACAACTGTAAATCATAAATACTGAAAGTTAAGAAATAAGAGCTTACCTGATGACCTACTAGCCTGAATAGAGCTGTGTTGTAGCATCCCATATCGAGATATATCTTCAGTTTGAAATAGGTGGGGGTATTTAGACTTCATTTCTTCCTCCGCTTCCCACGTCATCTCTTCCACATTCTTGCTTCTCCATAAAACCTTCACGGAGGCTACCTCCTTATTTTGTAGCTTGCGGATTTATTGGTCTAGGATGGCAACTGGAATTTCCTCGTATGACAAGTCCTCCATAATCTGTANCCATATCTTCATTTTGAAATAGGTGGGGGTATTTAGACTTCATTTCTTCCTCCGATTCCCACGTCATCTCTTCTACATTCTTGCTCCTCCATAAAACCTTTACGGAAGCTACCTCCTTATTTCGTAGCTTGCGGATTTGTCGGTCTAGGATGGCAACTGGAATTTCCTCGTATGACAAGTCCTCCATAATCTGTACATCATCCGTGGGCACCACTCTGGTAGGATCGCCAATGCACTTCTGTAGCATAGATACGTGAAAAATTTGATGGACTGACTCAAATTCTGAGGGAAATTCTAACTTATAAGCTACTTGGCCCACTCTCCGAATGATCCTATAAAGGCCCAATATACCGTGGGCTAAGATTTCCTTTCTTGCCAAACCTCATCACGCCCTTCATAAGTGATACCTTTAAGAATAACAATCATTAACCCCGAACTCTAAGTCTCATCGCTGCACGTCAGAATATGACTTCTGACGACTCTGAGCTATCAACTGCCTCTCCCTTATAAGCTTTACTTTCTCAATGGCCTGTTGAACCAGGTCTATCCCATGTAACCCAGATTCTCCAACATCAAACCACCCTATAGGAGATCTGCACTTACGCCCATACAAAACCTCGTATGGAGCCATCTGGATACTGGAGTAGTAACTGTTATTATATGCAAACTCGACAAGAGGTAGATGTTCATCCCAACTTCTTTTAAAATCCAACACACATGCTCGTAACATATCCTCAAGCGTATGAATTGTGCGCTCGGCTTGTCCATCAGTCTGTGGATAAAAAGCTGTACTGAGATTCACCTGAGTCCCTAGACCTCTCTAAAATGACCTCCAAAAATGTGCTGTAAACTGGGCCTCACGGTCAGATATAATAGATACTAGTACTCCGTGTAGCCGCACTATCTCCTTAATATATAACTTTGCATAATCTTCTGCTGTATATGTAGATCTGACTGGTAGGAAATGAGCTTATTTCATGAGCCTATCGACTATCACCCATATAGAATCGAACTTATGTTTAGAACAAGGTAAACCCGTGACAAAGTCTATGTTTATCGCCTCCCATTTCCACGTCGGGATATCTATAGACTGCATTAGCCCTCCAGGCTTCTGATGCTCTACCTTTACCTGCTGGCAACTATGACACTGGGCGACAAACTCAGCAATGTTCTTCTTCATACCGTTCCACCAGTACACATCCTTAATGTCATGATACATCTTCGTCGACCCAGGATGAATGGAGTACCACGAATAATGTGCCTCTGACATAATCTTGTCTCGTAGCCTTGCTACATCTGGAACATACAGATGACCCCTGTATTTGAGAACCCCATCTCCCTTGAGCTATAACAATGGCTTCTTCTACTGCAGAACTCGCTCTCTCAACTTGACTAACTCTGGGTCTTTTTACTGCCTTTCCTTGACTTTAGCTATGAGAGATGATTTTGCAGTGTTTTGGAGTACAACTCCACCATCATCAGAATCTACTAACCGAATCCCCAAACAAGCCAATTGATGAATCTCTCTAGTTAATTGTCTTTTATCGGCCTCTACATATGCTAAGCTACCCATAGATCGACGACTTAAGGCATCTGCTACAACATTATCTTTCCCTGGATGGTAGAGAATGTTAACATCGTAATCTTTTAATAACTCAAGCCATCGCCTCTTTCGCAAATTCAACTCTTTTTGCTTGAAGATATATTACAGGCTTTTATGATCAGTAAATACATCAAGATGAACACCATATAAATAATGCCGCCATATCTTAAGTGCATGGACAACCACAGCTAACTCGAGGTCGTGGGTTGGATAATTCCTCTTGTGCTTCCTTAACTGCCTTGAAGCATACACAATTACCTTCCCATGTTGCATCAGGACACGTCCTAACCTGACACGTGAGGTATCACAATACACGCCATAACCATCTGGACCCTCTGGAAGTGTTAGAACTGGCACTGAGGTCAACCTGTTCTTAAGCTCTTGGAAACTCCGCTCGCAAGCCTCCGTCCACTGAAACTTAGTTTCTTTCTACGTCAACTTCCTCAATGGTGCCAAAAGGGAAGAAAAACCCTCTACGAACCTCCGATATTATCCTGCTAAGCCTAGAAATATACAAACCTCTGTCGGAGTGGTTGGTCTAGGCCAAGATTTCACGGCCTCAATCTCCTGAGTTCGGATACAATATGCCCCAAGAATGCTACAGACTTCAACCAGAACTCACATTTAGAATACTTAATATACAACTTAAGATCACAGAGGGTTTAGTGTACCACTAACAGGTGGTACGCATGCTCATCCTCTGAACTTGAATAAACCAGAATAGGCTTAGAAATCTAAAAAGAGTATTACAGAGACATATGGAGACTAATCAGGTGCTGAACAAGGAAAATATCATTTTATGGTACATGAATATATATTCTTGGGACACCTAGTGTCAAGTAAGGGCATTGAGGTGGAACGTGCCAAGATTGATGTAATAGAGAAGCTGCCACCACCCACTTTCGTCAAGGCAATAAGAAGTTTTCTTGGTCATGTCAGTTTATACAAGCGATTTATAAAAGCTTTTTCCATGATTGCTAACCCTTTGTGTAAATTGCTTGAAAACAAATCACCCTTTTGTGTTTTCTGATGACTGCAGGGTAGCTTTCGAAGGATTAAAGAAGAGGCTAGTGTCTGCACCTATCATAGTTGCACCCGACTGGGAGAAACCATTTGAGCTGATGTGTGATGAAAGTAACCATGCCGTGGGAGTAGTACTTGGACAGAGAAAAGATAAAATCATGCATCCAATCTACTATGCAAATAGAACATTGAATGGCACCCCAACTGAATTACACAGTGACAAAAAAAGAGATGCTAGCAGCGGTATTCGCATTTGACAAATTCCGGTCCTACTTGATAGGCTCTAAGGTAATTGTTTATATTGACCATGATGCTCTCATGTACCTAATTTATAAAAAGGAAGCAAAGTCGCGCATGATTTGATGGGTTCTACTGTTGCAAGAGTTTGACTTGGAAATTCGTGACCGAAAAGGAACGGAGAACCAAGTTGCCGATCACTTGTCCAGGATAGAAGGAGCTGAAATGAAGGTTGAGGTGGAAGAGACATGGAGACTTTTCTGGATGAACAATTGTTATCCACGAGACTTGAGGAAGCGACATGGTATGCCGACATTGCAAACTACCTGGCAAGCGATATTGTTCCCTATGAATTGTCTTCTGTGGAGAAAACAAAGTTCTTTCGTGATTATCGCATGTATTTATGGGATGAACCATATTTGTTTCGGATTTTTATTGATAACATGATCCAAAGATGTATTCAAGAGATAGACCAAGCTTCTGTTTTGCAGGCTTGTCATGCTTTGCTTTATGGAGGTCATTTCGGAGGAGGAAGGACAACTGCTAAAGTATTGGCGTAGGGCTTCTATTGGCCGATGTTGTTTAAAGATGCACACTTTTGGGTAAAGAGCTGTGATGAGTGTCAAACGACAGGGAATATTTGTTGTCGACATGAGATGCCCATGAACCCAATCCAAGAAGTGGAAGTATTTGATGTATGGAGAATCGACTTTATGGGACCATTTGTTAACTCATACAACAACAAGTATATAGTAGTAGTAGTGGACTATGTCTCGAAATGGGTAGAAGCTGTAGCACTCCCAACAAATGATGCAAAGGGAGTTATTGATTTTCTAAGAAAAAATATCTTCACACGATTTGGAACTCCAAGAGCGATCATTAGTGATGGAGGAACTCACTTTTGCAACCGAGCCTTCACAAAGTTGCTGGAAAAATATGGTGTACGCTATAAGGTTTCCACTCCGTATCACCCACAAACAAGTGGTCAGGTTGAGGTGTCAAACAAAGAAATCAAGAGTGTTTTGACCAAAACTGTAAATGCTACTCGGGCTGATTGGGCAAAAAAAATTGGATGATGCACTATGGGCCGACCACACTGCATTCAAAACTCCAATTGGTATGTAACCGTACAAATTGGTTTTCGGAAAGGTGTGTCACTTACCGATGGAGCTAGAGCATAAAGCTTTTTGGGCATTAAGGCAATTAAATCTTGACATGGAGGTCGCTGGTACGAGTAGAGTCACAGAACTTCATGAACTCGATAAGTTCCATTACCATACTTTTGAAAGCACCAGGTTGTACAAGGAAATGATGAAGATCATGCGTGACAAGCATATTCAAGAGAGTATTTTAAAACCCAGAGATGTCGTGTTGTTGTATAATTCAAGATTGAAACTATTTCCGGGTAAGCTGAAATCTAGTTGGTCAGGACCATTTAGAGTGGTGCAAGTACTCTCAAGTGGAGTTGTAGAAATTGAATTCGAGGATGGAACGAACAGGTTTAGAGTTAATGAGCAAAGGTTGAAACATTACCTTGGCATGGATGAGGAAAATGTTGTATCGGTGATTCATTTGAAGGAGCCTCAATGGTTGAGTGAACCTTAAGTTTGATCGCATGTGTCATGCCGCGACATTAAATCGGGCGCTCGTTGGGAGGCAATCCAATTCGTAGTTTATTTTAGCTTAACTATAAATTTTTGTTTGTTTTATGCACTAACAAGTTTTTAGCTAAATCTTGGTGTCTGAACAGGTAATGGAGCACGATGGAAAGTCATGATGCTTGCAGTCATTCACAAAACAAAAACCAATTACATGTGTACGCTCCAAACAACGATGCATACCTCGCGTCACCCAGTTTAAATGCACATCGCACCTGGAAGCAAACCTCGCATCGTAAACATTTCACCTCGCGGCACAGCTTGCTTCGCCTGCTGCCCAGCGTGATTTCCAGCTAGCGTCGCCAATTCTTCAGCGCACTAAGACCTCACCCAGCGAGGGTTATAGCGAGACCAATCTCGCGGAAGTTTCACGTTGCAAGGGAAACAACGAGCAAAACCGGGCAGTAGACCTCGCATGGCTAGAAAATAACCTCGCGTTATGCCTCGTGTCGCCTGCTTCATAACTCGCTAAGGATCTCGCCGCGCCAGGTAAGTTTCTCACTAGGAGCTCGCGTCCTCGAGTTCTAAGCATGCATTAGAGATCTTCTCGCACGGCCCTTTGCTCGCTGAAATTCTTGCCAGCCAAGTTTCTAGCTCGCTATTGGTTTCGCCTCTCCATCTCCCATTTTCGCTGTAAAAACTCAGTTGGCCAGCCCCCATACACGCACGCACCACACATCACCTACTGTCCATTGTTGTAAACCTATTGTCCTTTGCTCTCTTGGTAGCTTGACCATCCTAAGCACAACGAACCACTCTTTTTCTCGCTAAACACCACGCGTCGCCAGGTCTTAAGCGTTCTATAGAGCTCACCCAGTGAGGGATTAAGCGAGGTCAATCTTGCGGTACAGCTTGCATCGCCTGCTGCCCAGCGTGCTTTCTAGCTTGTGTTGCCAGGTAATTACTTCGCGTTTAAGCTCGCGTCGCAAGAGATACAGTGAGAAAAACCTGGCGTTAAGCCTCTGGTAGAAAATGATATAGCTCGTTAAGCAGTACCTCACGTCAGCCCACATGCACGCTTCAGAGATCGCCATGGACCTCACATGGTTACAGCAAGGTAGAGCTCGCATTTGCCTCGCATTGCGCGGGTTATCGCGAGGTCAGTTTTCTTTTCTTTTTATTACCACGCTGTAGACCTCACCCAACTAGACCACCAGCTTGCTATGACCTCGCTTCGCCTGCATCTCATCTCTATATGGATCTTGCTTCGTGAGGTAAATATCTCGCTGGGAGCGTTCGTCGCCAAGTAAGTGATGTTTTAATATTTTTTAAGCTTAGTTTTCTAACTTCTTTATATTAAAACACTACTTTGTTTTCTTACTTCTTTATATTAAACACTACTTTGTTTTCTAATCTCTTTATATTAAAAAACTACACAAAGTCACACACCTCACTAAACACACTACACTGCCCGTCCATTTTTCCGTTCACCCTCACACACAAATTTCATTCAAGACGATTTGCATCCACTCTTTTACTCACTTGAGACATTAATTGAAGAACATTTCAATCCTCCTAAGCATCTAAGGTATGTTCCTAACCCTTTCATCTATCAAAAATTTGAATTGAGTTAAGAAATGAAATTCCAACAATTTTGGGTACGTATTCATAGCATCAAATTGCTTGCTCGCCCTAATCCCATAAATCCCATAGGAATGGTATTGCTGTTGGGTACAAGGTTATAACATGAAATCCCCAAGCCGATTTGGGGATGGTGAGGCAATCCCTCATCTCTACAACCTCTTTGACAACACTAGCACATGCTAAGTGTTTGTCGAAATGCCTCAAAGGCACTCTTTGCCCAAATGAAGTTCTGGTCTCCAGGATTATAATACTTGTGCTAAGTTGCATTGCACCACTCCAAATCGCAAATTTAGTTGGGCTCAACAGCAGCTACATGCATAGCAATTGTGGTAAACACCATTTTGCCATTGCTTTATTAGCATGCTAAATTAAAGAGGTGAAGTCTGAGTAGCCTCAATGGTTGAACATCATGTAGTGAACTCTTAAGTGTTGGATCGCAAGACCATGTTTTGAATTGATTCATCTGCTTTATCACTGAGGAACGTTCACTTATGTAGGTACGAGTATGTCTCCTAAAAAAGATGATGGTAAAGGCAAGGGCAAGGCTACTGCTCCAACTAAGGCCAAGGCTTCTTCCAGACCTCCACCGAAAAAGAGAAAATGTGGGGAGGCCACTTCAATCCAAGTTGAAGTGTTGTAAGAAGTTGCAGCTATAGCAACACGCCTACAACCTGAGGGACAATGAGAATTTGGACTAAAGAGCATACCTCAATCTGCCAAGGATTGGTACAAGCTTTGTCGGCCGAGACATATACATTTTGAGTCAACTATTCATGAGCGGTGCCTACAAGCTAAGTACCAATCAATTTGGAAAGGTATTAATGACCTTGTCTTAAGCTACATGTTTAGAAACATCGGGGATATAAATGTCAACCTTGTTCGGGAATTTTATACCGGTTTTGATCTGAATGATCCTGAGCGCTGATGCCTATTATAGGACGGTTGATCGATTTTTTGGCAGCAACTATATACAAGTTTTTGGGAGCTCCGGATGTTTCACAAGAACCCTTGGACAACTTCATCACCCGTCCTACATATCAGGCATTGAGACACACTCTTTGTGGTATCAATTCTGTGGCCGCTTGGGTTCGTGACAAGAAGACTCAATGCCATAGGAAATTTACAAAGAAAACAATGAATCCAGAAGCTCAGGTGTGACTGAAATTGATCAACACGTGACTATTACCATGCAATCATGAGACTCTTATAAGCCGTGAAAGGATATGTGTGTTTTACTTCCTCATGACTGGCCAGAAAGTGAATGTGGGCCACTTAATACGCTACCAGATGTCCCAGGTGAGAAAAAGCAAGTGCATTGACAGATTGTCCTTTGCCAACATGTTGACTCAGTACCTGCGCAAAGAAGAGGTAGAGGAGGAGCGAGATTTTGATAAAGCATTCCTCAACCTCTCAGACTAATGGACATCACAAGCATGCAGGTGAAAGAGGAGAATGCCATGGCCACAATGACAGGTGCCGAGAGCAATGCTCGAGATGACAGCCTTATGGAACATATATATGGGATGATGGATTTACATCTCAGGATTAGGGGAATGTCGGCCACTACTGAGGAGAGGGCCACCTTGGAGGAGCGTTATCCGCTCAATCCTCATGCACAATAGCTAGTTAGGTTGTCAATGGGCATCGACTCCCAGATGATGAGGATGTCAACACACCAGTATGTTTCAAGGCCGAGCCAGAGCAGTTCGGCGAGGATGATGATGATGATGATGGGGGAGAAGAGGATGAGGATTGGACAGGTGTAGATGGAGCCTTCGACGAAGAGGGCGAGGACGATGTCTGATCAGGGAGTTTTTCCTGCCACCTTACATGTTTTTGTGTTTATGAATTTATA